TAATGGACAGAATAATGTAGGTAACTTACCCAGTGACTTCCCAAAACTTAGAATTGATGGCATTAATTTACAAGAGTGGTATCAACAGCTTCAGGTTATTTTCATGAAAGAAAATTTACTATTCTTTATAACTAGCCCTCCAAGAAGACCTTGGACTTTAAAAATAGATTGTTTACATCATAGAGCATTTTTCATAATAATATCTAGCGTGTCTCCTGCAATGTATCATAGCATCAAACCAAACCTAACTGTATCAGAAATAATTCAATGCATGTTTAATCTATTTCACAGCGATAGCGTAGCTACAACCACAAGAATGTCTAAGGATTTCTTTTCCTCTAGAGTAAAACCAGGGGTTTCTATAAGTGAGCATTTGATAAATCTAAACAAAATAAGAGCTGAGCTACAATTGAGGGGGGAAGTGATTTCAGATCAAACAATGAAAAGTGTTATTATCAATTCACTTGATCCATCATGGGATAGCTTTATGTCACACTTAGATACCATTAATTTGGGATATTTATCCATAGAAAGTCTATCTAACAAATTGATAGCAGAAGACAATTCAAGAAAAAATCGATCCAGTAACCAAACAGACCACAAACCTTTTAGGAAAGTAGTCTTTCAAGATAAACATAATGAGGCCTTTAGATGCTACAATTGTGGATCCAGGGAACGTAGTAGAAGAGACTGCCCCAAAGTCTCAAGAGAGAGACATAGACCAGAATATAGGAGCAAATATAATTACAGACAATCTTCCACAGATAGACACAAATATAGAAGCCCACCAAATTACAAAGAAGGTAGAGGGGGTAGAGAAAATTCAAAAGAGAGGAAATCTGGGTCACTGAATGGGCTAAATAAACAAGACAGCACCAGAACACAGCAGGATGAGAATAACAATTGGCTTATTGATTCTGGTGCAACAAATCACACCACCAACAACAAAAGTATATTATCTTCATTCATAGAAGATAAGTTTGTGATAAAGGTAGCTAATCAAGAAAAGGTTCAAGTACTAGGCAAAGGAAATGTGACCTTGCCTGGTCTAGGGAAAATAGAGGGGGTATTATTAATCCCAGAAATACCTCACAACATACTAAGTGCCATAAAATTAAGCAGAGAATCTGATATCAATATAGTTTTCTCAAAGGGGAAAGCAACTATAGAAAAGAACAAAACAAATGTAGGTACTGTAATGATAAAAGGAGGTCTACCCTATCTGATAACTAAAGAGAGATGTTTACATAACATTGATTCAAATATGGAAGATTGTATTGAAGCAGATGATGAAAATGTCAGTAACAGTGACAATGATGAGTGTAGAATAACTCATGATCACAAAAATACATACAAGGAAAAGAAACCAAAAATAGGTAAACCAATTCATGATGAGTGTGCTCACATCTTACACAGGAAGTTAGGACATGCAAGCTTTCCTGTAGTACAAAAAATGACTGAACACGCAGAAGGTGTCAAAATAAAAAATTGTGAAAATTATTTGGAATGCTCAGTATGTAAGTCCACCAAACTAAAAACCAGTCCCAGACCAAAAAAATCTAACAGATCAACTAACAATATTTTTGATTTGGTACATATGGACTTAGTTGGTCCATTAAGTCCCTCAATTACCTATAGAAAACGTTACTTCCTAACTATAGTGGATGACTACAGCCGATATGGTTTTGTTTACACATTAAAGCACAAGGATGAAACATTTCAGAAATTTAAGGAATTCTACAAACGTATAGAAACACAACATAATATCAGAATAAAGCAAATTATGACAGATAGGGGATGTGAGTTCATGTCTAAAGAATTCTCCCAATGGTTAAAGGATAGAGGAATGTTACATTTCACGTCCAATCCTTTTTCTGCATTTCAAAATGGAGTTGCAGAGAGGAAAAATTCCACACTACAAACCATGATTAGGTGCACATTAGAGGATGCTGGTTTAGGCAAACAATTTTGGTCAGAGGCATTACATTATTCGAATTACACTCAAAATAGAACCTGGTCCAGTATTGTGAATAAGACACCATATGAGGTGATGTACAATAGAAAACCCAAATTATCACACATGCACATATTTGGAGTCACTGCAGACGTACACATACCTAAACAATTGAGGAGAAAGGGGAGAAAACGTATCCAGGAGATTAAGATTCATGGGATACGAAACTGGAACCAAAGGGTACAGATTTATTGATAGTAATAACAAATTTATAGTATCCAGAACAGCTGTGTTCCATGAACAGGCCAATTGGTCAAAATTGCACCTTAATGAAATATTTCCTAATAATAATGTAAAGATACGATATCTTGCGAGGAAGGAACAACAGAAAATCAAAATATTAACAAAAGTAAGAACAAAACCAAAACTTGGACTAATAGTCAGCATAAAATAAAGACAGACACATTAACAAAAAAGGAAGCTAGATATTTGCATGATAACCATAGCAAGCCTGAAAGAACTATTAGAAACAATAGAAATCAAATACCAAATAAATACAAAGATTACATAATGCATATGAATGGAGAACAAATAACACCTAATACATATGAAGAAGTATTGAAACTTCCACATGAAGAAAGAGAAAAATGGGAACTAGCTATGGAAAAAGAGATGGAAAGTTTACAAGGATTAAATGTATTCACACCTGCGATCGCACCTAAGGATAAAACAATTATAGGTACCAGGTGGATTTATAAAATTAAGAACTTAGAAGGAGGCAATACCTTATACAAGGCTAGACTAGTTGCACAAGGCTATGCACAAAAATATCCAGAAGACTATACTGATACATATTCACCCACAGTGAGAACTGAGAGTGTCAAAACAGCCCTTGTAGTAGCATCTGCACTCAATCTGGACGTATTCCAATATGACATACAGACCGCATACTTACATGCAAAATTAGATAAGGAAATATATGTAAGAGCACCACACAGTCAATACACTAATAAGAACGAAATTTGGTTATTAAATAAGAGTCTGTACGGATTAAAGCAATCCGGCAAAAGATGGTACGATTGCTTGGTAAAAGTACTTAAGACCATGGATTTCAACGCCACCACTGCTGATAACTGTTTCTTTGTAAAAAAGAGTAATGATCACATTGAATTTGTATTAATTTACGTGGACGATATTTTATACATTGGAAAGCATAAAGAGAGCAGGGAAATCTTTGTAAATAAGTTAAATGAACACTTCTCACTGAAATCTCTGGGTAAAGTGAATAAATACCTTGGTGTGCAAATTAACAAAACTAAAAGGGGATTCAAACTTACACAGAAAGATAAAATCATCGAACTCCTAAACAAATGTAACTTAAATAATGCTAAAACCTGTGACACCCCTATGCAAACTGATTTTCTTAGAAACACTGATGAATCTTCCCCTGAGTTTAAAGACAACACATTTTACAGATCAGTTATAGGTTCACTCCTTTATATATCTAATTGGACTAGGCCAGATATTGCATTACCTCTCAATCTATTGTCAAGATATGTTAGTAAACCAACCTTGTATCATTGGGAAGCTGTCAAAAGAATTCTAAGATATCTGAAGGGTACATTAGATTTTTGTTTAATGTTGGAACCCAATAATGACAGAGAACCAAAAATTACTTGTTATGCTGATGCAGATTGGGCTGGTGATACATCATGCAGAAAGAGTACTTCTGGTTATGTTTTTCTATTGAATGATTGTCCAGTTTACTGGTATACTGGTAAACAAGAACTAGTAGCCACTTCTACTACAGAAGCGGAATATGTTTGTTTGTCCAAAGCTGCAAATAACCTTGTATGGTTCAATGATCTGATCACTGATGTTTGGAAGAAACCCACCTTACCATTTATTATGCATGAAGACAATAAAGCGGCCATTGAAATATCCAGATCCGATGCAATTGGACAAAGGTCCAGGCATATTGATATAAAGTTTAAGCATGTGAGACAACTGTCTCAAGACGGATTCATTAAAGCAATACATTGCGATACTTCTGAACAATTAGCTGACATATTAACAAAACCCTTACCTTCTAAACAACACAAATATTTAACTTCTAAATTATATGTATTATATTGTCCTGAATCAGAATGTAATTGGTGTTGTGTAACGAACCGGCATTTAGAGGGGGATTTGTCAGATGTAAATGCCTTATTCTCCAATGTGTAAATAATGTATATATGGAACATCAGAGGTTAACTTATTCTTTGGACTTTAATGTATTCATAACTTACCACTCCCATTCCTAGCTCCACCCCTTGTATATATAAGGAGCCACCCTCACCATTCTCGTCGCTTCTACCTTGAATATTCAGTGAATATAGAATGCCTATCATAATTAAAAAGAAATATATTTAAAGCTTTAACTTCTATTATCTTTATTGAGTCTGATCCTGAAAATATTGCAACAGTGCCGTTTTCAGGAGGCAACTGAATACAAGAAAGTCCAGTTGCCTCTTGAAAAAGCACCTTTGGGACAACTACTGTATTCACATGAAAGCCTGGATGCATCTGTGTTTGGGGTTTTACTTCTTTGCTGGGATTACAGGGTGGTAAAAAGAGAGTTTACCATCTGGTTAGTGGATGGCTATTTAACTGACTGATCCGGCTACGTTGTCTCTCCTTCCCTCAGAAACAGACTCCTGCCATTCCTCATCTCTCTTTATTGCTCTGCTATAGATTGGAGGAGGGAGGTCAAATGCAAATCCCACGGGAGCGTTTAAAAGAGGTCCGTGAGCCTGAATCTTTGGTTTCATGGTTTATCGGAAGGGGGAGGGGAGCAGTTTTGAAACTGCAAATAATGGTTAAGGGAACAGAAAGCTGGAAATATCACAAGATGAATGAATCATATTTTTTTTTCTGATAAGAAAGTAAGCCCACCGCTTCCTATTTTGGAAAAACAAAAACAAAATCCGAGCTGAGAGGCGGTGCCTTCCAGAGGAAAGAGCATCGATTGGCTGGGGACGAGACTCCACCTCCTTTCCGTCTAGGGGTGGCTCCTATGAAAAAAAAACAACGCAGGGCGGCAGGCTGCAAATAGACCAGGAGACGGAGGAAAGATGGCCCTGTTGCGAGGGCTTTTGGTGTGTAGCGTACTCTTGCTCAGTTGTATCTGCAAGCAGGCGCTCGGGACCAGGCTCCTCGGGGGACGGGAGAATGCTTCCCCGGAGGAAGCGGACGTCCGTACGGCCCTTGAATTTGCCATGAACGAATACAACAGAGGCAGCAATGATATGTATAACAGTCGCGTATCCGAAGTGGTCGAAGTCCAAAAACAGGTAAGCGAATAATAGGCGAAGGTGCGACTCTTGGGGTGGCAGCGCCGGAGGGGCTAATTTACAGTAATAGGTTTCCCGGGCGCGGCCTTCAGAGACCCGTGAAATTAGAGATCGATACCTGTACGCTGTTAATGAGAGGGGCATCCTCATTTTTTAAGTGGGTGGGTTGTAGTCCGCCTCCCACCGCTCATTCTGCAATTTAGCATTTCAACGCCAATGATCAGATGATCATTCCTCCTTCCCTTTGGTAGATATGGAAGCGACTGGAGAGTTAATTGCAGACATGACCAGGACAAACTCAGGTTCGTCACAGTAATTGGGGGAAGGGAGCAGGCAAGTCAGTGAGAATGTGGGCTGTTGTTGACTAGAATGTCCTTGCTTTAATTGGGTCAAAGAGCGCCTCCCTTTTCCTTTCCATCACTTCTGCAATTCCCAGCCCAGAGATTAGATATGTTTGTTTGCGGTCCTTGGGCATAATCCAATTGGTAGTTCTTTTGAAAAATTTAAACTGGAAAGAAAAACTTGCACAGGAGTAAGTAAGAGTTACAAATGCTCTTATTCTTCTAGCTTTATGGCATATGATATATTCAATTCTCAGGACATTGTATGTGTTTCATACACTTTCTTAATCAAAACTAGCACATTTTGTCACTTGGCCTGCTGATTTTGATAAATCTTACAGTTTGACAGCTACCTGATTGCCATGTCCATTAATAATTAGCTGGTATCAAAAGGAAGTAGTAGATATTTTTGTGTATATATGTATACCCCTCCCCCTACAAACAATGAAGTTAGATCCTTTTTCTTAATACTTTAATTCTGTCAACATTATCACCAAGATCACCAACTTCAGTTCTTTATTTGCTCCCCGCTCCACCTTCCTATATAATTTTGCTAGCAGTAACATATTCTTCTCCCTTACTTGCCTAGGATGCGAAATGAAAGAATTGAGCCATGCAATCTAGCAAAATATCTATCTAATGCAATGCCACCAGCTTTATACCTGGTTGAAGCAGCACCCAAACTGCTTTCATTCACGCTTTCTAGTGTGGCACATCTATTATCAGATGCATTCCAGCATCAAAGAAGCTTTTGGGAGAACTTCATCTGTTTCAAACTCACACTCTTTTGTAGGTCCATCAAGATTCTCGGGCATTGTTTTACATTTATCCCTTTGGAGAACAGCAGTTCACTATATTTATAGGGTATTTCACTCTTGTACTGTTTGAGCAGTTGGATCAGTAGACATGAAACTCTCATCAATTACATCCAGTTAGAGCTGGTTCTACCATTAAGCAGGATTGAGCAGCTGCGAGTGACAAATGTTGGGGGTGGAGAATGATGGTGGTGTGTTGGAGGAGAGAGCTGCCCAATTCCTAAGCTTGCTGTAACTGCTGTCTTGAATTAAGATCCAACAATCAGTCAGTTTCAGCACAGATTAGGTGATGAGCATCTAGAAAAGTACAGTAGTGGCCAAAATTGTGGAAACCTTTTGGAAAGAGTGTATTTTTGAGGTTTGATGGCTAATAACACCACTTTTCTTTGGAGTTTCAAGATAATCATATTCCACTGCTGGAATGGTCTGGGAATAGCCCAGACCTTAACCCAACTGAAAATCTATGGAGCCGACTAAAGAAACTTGTTAGTCAGAAGCGACCCACCAATAAAACCCAGTTAATAGAAGTAATCATTCAATCTTGGTTTCACATTATAACAGCTGCAGGACTAAAAGACTTGGTTCACTCCATGGGAAGATGTTGTAAGGTCGTAATTCATACTAAAGGTTACCCAAGTCCTGACACTAAGTATTAACTGACGTGATAATTTTTGTATATCTCCTTTTTTCTATGGTGATTTTTGTATATCTTGTTTTTTCTATGTGTTTCACTTTTCTTCTTTATACTGTAACTGCTATTCTAAGAGCAAATCCTTCATAAAAGTTATCGCATTACATTCTTGATTAAATTATCTTTCCATTGATATATAATTTTATGGTACTACTCCAAAAAAAAAAGTGGTTTTATTAGCTAGTTTTAGAAAATACACTTTTCCCAAAAGGTTTCCACAATTTTGGCCACTACTATATAGAAATGCTACTATATTGTGGTGCTTCCTTTGGGTGAATTAGATTTTCCAGGTGTGGGTCCTTTAACCACCCCCAAAGGAAACACTTTTATCTGACAGAAAAAGGTCCCTTGTCTCATACTTGTTTCCATAGGTGGCAATGGCTGTACTCACTGACATTCTTGTAGTAAGACCTATCACTTAATATCCTTTATAATCTTGGGCAGTCAGAATGCTAAATATTTTCAGACATGTATTGGGTAAGTGCCATAATGTTGGATATTCCAACTTTTTATATCCTGCAGATTGTCAGCGGAATTAAGTATTACTTCACTGTTAAGATTGGACGTACAGTTTGCCGTAAGGGAGCATCTGACCTTGAAAATTGTGCATTTCATAACACACCTAAACTGGCACAGGTACGTGGCAGAAAAAAGGAGGACAATGTTTTAAGGACTAAGCAGAATTAGACATGATTGATCTCCATATGAAGTGAGATATGAAGTGGGATGATATATGAGAAATAATATGTTAAACTGGAGGAAGGAAAACAAAGTAGCTTGCTTTCCCTTCCCCTTTTAGAGGTTTGCAAAGAAGGCCAGACCTCATAATAGAGAACCGAAAGTGGTATCCCAGGATATTACTATCTTCTTTGTTGTTAATTTTCCAATGAATAGAAGGCCTGCTCCACATAAAAAAGATGTGGGTGTAGCAATACTTGAATATATCATTGAGATGAGAGTTAAATCCATTTCTGTGTGACTCCAGATTTTGTTCCTCTATCAACAGCCTTGCTGATAACCAACCTACTTTGTTCCACAATGGGGATGTCAAAAACAAAGCTCTTGACAGTCTGCATAATGTGATTCTGGGTTCTGTAACTTCACTATAAAATCTAATGTGGTGATTGCTTGACATAGGTACTCAGTTCTCTGCTTGGGCATGGATAATATCCCAAGAACTTTCTGTTACAAAACCTTTACTAAAACAAGAGCTGCATAACTCCCAAAAATACTAGGATAAAATACAAAAGGTGACATTGGGAAACTCCCAGTCAGGCAAGGAGGAAGGATCAAGCAAGGAGTTAGCCTTCAGTCATTGCACAGTCATACTCTCCCCAAGTTCCATGGAACTTTATCTCTTTGTTCCCCAGGGAGGGTGAGCAGTCCGGGGAAATTCTTGTACAAAAGAGCACAAGATTGTAAAGTAGTCAACTTTTACGTGTGGATCTGGTTCCTTGCACCTGACATTAATCTCCCCAGGCTGCTCACCCTCCCTTGGAAACTAACAGATAAAAGTCTCATGAAACTTGGAGTGGGGATCAGTCCTAAGCCTCTTTCTGGACTCAAGGTTAACTCCCTGCTTGATCCCTCCTTCTTGCCTGGCTGGGAGTTTCCTAACAGATGAGTTTGTTTTAGCTTCAGTAAATCTGTGAGATTGGGGGCCAAACCTCACACATTTCCAAAGTGTCTAAAGTGTTTTTAATATGAAGTCTGTTAAAGAAAAATGCCTTCAGTAAGTGATTTCCTTCCCAGGTAGATGTTCACTAGGAATATTGTATCTGGCCTGCAGAAATCCTGATGACCATTAGATGGGGCAAAGCAGGGGGGCAACTCAGATATGGTAATCCTCAAGAGTAGAAGAGGAATTGTTTTCAATAGTTTAATAAGAGAAAAGCTATACAATCATTATGTAAATCATTAAATATGTGGTGCTTATGTTAGTCATTAGTAACTTGCACATAGATTTCAGTGACATTTTAATGCCCACTTAACCAGAGTCACAAGGAAAATCTTTGCATCAGACCAACGTTTTCCAGATCACACGTTCATCTTGTAGCCTTCTTCCATCCCATCTTAAAAAACCAATTACGGAGCATTGTAAATATTGGGTGATTGCTCTGACAAACTAGACTCTTTCAGCAACAGTCAGATACAGCAAAAGGCAGCTGTGGATCTCTGTATTCAGGGTTTCTGTTCAGTGTACAAACACTTCAGTGTTTTTGTTAGGGAGAAACGTTGCCATGCCAAAACTGCTTGAATTAGCTGCCTAGTTACTCAGAAGTTTATAGCTAAATAAAGCACTAAAAAAAACCCTTTCCTTCCTTAAATAGTCACAAGATCTTATTCAGCAATGCAGTAGCTACAACATTATTATTTCCTCTTTACTAAAGTAAGGCAGTTGCAACTAAGGGAGGTTTTGAGGATGTGAGTAATTTAAATAGAATTTTTCTTTTCAGTTGACAAGATATTGAAATGGTAGATAGCTTCTGCCTTTTAGGATCAACCATCAACAGTAAAGGAATAAGTGGTCAAAAAATACACTGCAGATTAGCACTTGGTAGAGCAGCCATGAAGGCCTTAGAAAAGATATCAGATGCCGTGATATGACTATACAGTTAGTCCTGGTTGGCAATTGCTTATTCATTGACTGTTGAAATGGGGTTTCCATTGATTTCTGAAAGACTTTTTTCTTGAGTGGTAACCTGGAATAGAATTAATGCAAGGTTAAGCAGGCCAACCTCACATTGATCTTTTCTACTGAGAATATATGGAGGCCATTCATTTCTGTGGCAGTTTGCTGTGGATATTTGATACTTTTTAGATATTACTGTTTTAAAATAAAGATAATTAAAAATGCTACTTTTAATATGAAATTTCAAAATGAGAAAAAGTTATTCAAAATATACGTCAGGGATAGAACAGCTCAAACTTGACCATGTTGCTTTTCTTGATTATCTGCCAAAAAGTATTAATTCAAAGTATTGAAGTATTAATGATTGTTGACAAGAAATGATTTGATAATCAACTGTTGTGAGTCAACTGTAGATTGACACCTTTTCAGTATTGCATGATCATTACCATAGTTAATTCCCTCCACTCCCCCACGTATCCATAATTTTTGATGTGTTGATAAAAGTTCAACATACACATATAGTCAAGAAGAGCATGTGCATCTTAATAGGCCGCAATCAGGATAAGATCATATTGTGAGAATAGCAATAGCACTTCAACTTATATACTACTTTACAGTGCTTTACAGCCCTCTCTAAGCAGTTTACCGAGTCAGCATATTGCCCCCAACAAGCTGGGTCCTCATTTTACCGACCTCGGAAGGATGGAAGGCTGAGTCAACCTTGAGCCTGGTGAGATTCAAACTGCCAAATTGCAGTCAGCCGGCAGTCAGCAGAAGTAGCCTGCAGTACTGCATTCTAACCACATTCTAACCACTGTACCACCGTGGTTGCAAGTTTAAGATGAAAACGTAGAAAGCAGGAGAAAAGCCTCCCCTACATAGGTTTATGTTCCAATTCTCAAATTGTCTGAAATCAGGTTGATTTAGAGTAGTCATACATTCAGGTGCTCTGTGAGGTCCGATTTACTTTATTATATTGTTATAATATTGCCAGTTAATTATGATTGCCAGTTACGAAATGTGATATGAAATACTTCATTTTTTTTCTTTCTTTCTCCTGTTTGCAGACAATGACTTGCACTTTTGAGGTTTACAATATTCCTTGGAGAAACATCATTTCCCTGGAAAAAAATACCTGCGCCTAAAAACACACCTGGTTTCCTACAAATCAGCTTTCTACTATTCTGATCCTATGTCTCTAGTTAAAATGAGTAACAATCCAGTCACATTTTCAAGTGAGAATTTTTGCCGCTAATTCAGCAACGCTTCTGCGTTTGTAAAGCAAGTACTTTCCTGTAATTTTCCTTTTAGAATACTTTATAAACATGTCATCTTATTTTGCAAGCATGGGTTGTGCCGTAGCAGAGAAAAATCACATTAAAGGTTTTCTTGTCAAATGTTAAGATTTTTAATGTGTATTCTCTTAATATTCATTACAAAGACTTAACTGTTGGAAACACATGATCTCTAAACTTGTGCTGCCCATGTATATCACAGGATAGAGCACCCTTGATCTAAAAGGCAGAAACTATCTGGTGGCACACTTTATGTTTACATGGAAATGGTGTTCATGGGTAAGGGTCTGAGGTTCTTCCCCCCCACACCAAAAAGTGCTGTCCACCTATATTTGAATCAGCAGAAGATTACTGGCATGGCATTTGCTTTCTCACTTGTCACTCGTAATCCTCCTATTGCCTTTCCACCCAGTCACTGCCTAATATATCACCTCATTTCCCTCTGTGAGGTGGGTGACAAAACCTGAGGTTTGGAAACAAGAGGGAAGCTCTATTTTTAACCCCAGCGCAGTTAACAATTATTTAAATCTGTTTCAGTCATAAACTTAAAGGTGAGGACCTCAAAGACACCTGATTGGAATTTTCCTTTTATTTTATCTCCTCCCTCTGGGTAGAGTGAGGAATTGAACCTGGATCTCCCTCTTGTTTCCTGGTTCAGTGGACCATACTGCACTCTTCTAATACTACTGGCCTTGTCTTTAATCTGCCTGGTTTTTCTGTTCGTTAAATTTATTATTCTAGCCACAGAGTCTTTTGGCAGTTTACCATCCAAACAACAAATCGGAATTGCTGAAGTAATTAAAAGTCTGATTAAAGTGAATGTTTTTAAAGCATTCAAAAAATTGGCAGAAACTCAATCCTCTCAATTCAGAAGGGAGTGCATTTCAGAGCTGGTGGGCCTGCAGAGAAGGTTTACCCTCAGATTATTTCAACAAGAAAGTTGTGGGTGGCTGGGGGAGAGGAATCATGTAAAGTCTCTTAGGTAATCCAGATCCAAGCCCTATAGAATTTGAAAAGTATAGCACTTCATATTTCACAGAAATAATTTGGGAATCATGTGATTCGCTCTTGAGTTTTCTCAAAAACTAAGCTGGCTGCTGAGTTCTGTACTAATCCTACAATTTTGAGGCTAGGTGCAAAACGCTTCTCCACATACAACACATTCTTCTCTTTTACAGGTCAGTGACCCACGCTTAGTAAGACCTGTAGTGGAGAAAATAAATCTTAGTAAACAAAATGGAGATTGTATCATTTTCTTCCCTGTCTTTTAGACATGACTAGGATCAAACCCAGTCCATCTCCCTGCCCAAACCCATCAGACCTAAATTGACCACCCCTGAGTTCCATACAAAGCCCCCCCTGCAATCCCAAAGAATAGAAGCCTCTCTACCAGCTCACAGTTCACTCCATGGGCAGCCCTAAGAAGGGCATCACAATAAAACTCATTGCAGATACACTGACAAGGATCTGCCTAGCTTCTCCAAAACTAGCCAGCCAATCAGATCACTAGAATTTCCTGTTTTGTATCCCTCAATTTCTATAAAAAATGTTTGCTTTCCTGTTGTGTGGGGTTCCTCTATTTGTTGAAATAAAGCCTGGTTCTTCTCAATGGTGTACTCCTCCTTCAGATGGAATCTACAATTTATGTACTGCTAAAACTCTTGTTGTGACCTTTAACTGGGCAAAACTGTGCATCATAGGGCAACAATTTTTGAACCAAGATATCTCCAATGCATTGACTTACAGAATGTGTCCGAAATCTGGAACCCATGACTCCTGGGGGAATAAAATATGGGAAAGTTGTGGCTGCTTCAGTGCTGCTGTGCTACTGGGCTTCTGCTCTGTTCGTGTGATCTTCATTTTCAACATTCTGTGACTGTTTCCCAGCCAGTCTCACAATCCCTTGTAACCTCCCCACCCTGCATCAGCCACTTATTTGCCTGCTGGAAAGGGAAGGGAAGAGGAAAGGAGGAATGGGAAGGAAGAGAGGGAGAAAAGGAAGGAAGGAACATAATGTGCCTTTCTTGGCCCACACTGACTCATGCAACACTTCTTGGGCACCTCCATTCACCCTTCCCAACCTATGCCATCACACCTTTGCATGCCTTCCCTGATCCATGTGCACCTCTTGTGCACCCCCATGGATGTTTCCTGACCCTTGCTGTCCCCACACACTATCTTGGACCTGCATAACACCTCTTTCACACTCCCAAACCCTCCTAGGTACTCTTTTCAAGCTGCATCCCCTATGTGCCTTTCCTAAGTCATGGTACCTCTCAAGCAGCCCTGCAACCCCCATGCACCCTTTGTGAGCTATGCTGCCCACCAATGCACACTGACCCACATGGCATCTCATCTCCACATGACCTCCACACACCCTCCTTGACCCAGCCTCCCCACATGTCCTACCCAACCCATGCAACATCTCCCCATATCCTCCATGTACCCTTGACCTACACCATCTTCTGCATGCTTTCCCAACCTGCACAGCAAACACATACTCTTCCTGACCCACATCACCCACCTGCATGCCCTTCACAACCTGCATGTGCACCTTCCTGACCCATGCAGGACCTTTTGTACACTCCCATGAATAAATCCTGACCTGCACTAGGGAGAGGAAGGAAGGAAGGGAGAGAGAGAGAGTTCTGATGCTCTCTACCAGCTTCCTACAAGGAAAGAAATCGGAAGTTGCTCCCATTTGACTGCTTTTTTTATCCACCCAAGCTCATTCTTTTTCTCTCTAGATGATAAAATATCTTTGAAATGATGACCCAATGGGTCATGGGTTAGTAGTACTTAATAACAGCCTACAGAACAGAATATTCAAAATAAAGCATTCAAAGTGAAAAAGATACAATCATGCTTGCTATCAGCAATGTGTGAGTTTTGCAAGTTGCAAGAACAACCTTTAAAATGATGAATTACCTTGGGATCCATGTCCATCAGTACAAGTTGAACATAAAATACTTCAGTCTATCCATCCCATTGCATTTCTTAAGCCTGGAGATCAACATCTCATGTACAACTATTTTAAGGCTATTTTCTTCCACGATAATACAAATCATTTATATTGAATCTTTTAGTGATTTAATCTTCAGTTGCTGTGAAATGCATAGTGTGTGTTTGTCATGTCTGCAATTTCATTTTTAAATGAAAGAAAACTCCTTTGGAAAATACTGGCCTTTTCATCCTAGCTCCCATAGCCTCAGATGAAATCAAAAATCAAATCAATTCATTACAGCCATAAGGCTAGGTACACTAAATTATATAATAATAGAACTGTTACATACATATACAACAGAAAAATAGTGGGTATATTAGGATCTAAAAATAATTATAATTATAATAATTATATTATATTATATTATAATTATAATTAGCAGAATGTGACAAATTTTGTTGTGGGGAATGATACTACATTGTGTAAAAATCAGTGTTACAGCTTTGAAAAAACTACAAAATTTTTAAAATCTTGACAAACTGTTGTGCACCATTCTGAAAACTCCAATAAGCTCAAACCAGGAGACTGGGATTTCTATCCCATCTTAAGTCAAGAAAGCCACCTAAGTTACTTCAGGCCAGTTCCACTCTCTCAGCCCAACCTATTTCACATTATTATTGGGAAAATAGGAGAAGTGGGGTATATTAAGTATGTTCCCTACCTTGAATTGTTTATAAAAGAACACATGCAAGATAAACCAAAAATTAAATTTTATACAATAAAAACAAAAGCTAATTAACCTCCTCCACTAAAGCATTTTTCTTGAATAAGTACTGATTTTTTTTTTTAAAAAAAAGCCTTTTGCGGCAACGTAGATCACAAATCACAAATCAAAAGTAGAAAAAGTTTTCACATTTTGAACTTGCCCTGAATGTTCTCATTCTATTCTGTGCAGTGTTGGAGTTCAGCTTAACCTATAAAACAATTAAAACAAATAACTATAGAAATATATTAAGTGACCACTTGATGGCACCAAATAACTTTTTCTTTAATACAAGAGCAGAATTAACTTTTTATTATTGCATGGCCTCAGAAAGAGGAGCGCTGAGGAACCAAATAGCAACTAGTCTTAGGTCATTCCAGTTGTGATATCCCTAAGTAAAAAATGAAGCCCTCAATGAATTTAATTCACCCCAAGTCTTAATTCCTTTTGGTCCAATTTAATACCCATAAAATGGTAGGAGGGTTTTTTGACTTTGGCTTAGTGTGGATCAACAAATAATCATAATAAATTATGGGTCAGTGCAATGTGGAAATCCATATTTGGGCAACCATTGCTCAATACCCAAATGGTTATTTGATGTAACTTTTCTAATATGCTCCTTTTCCTCTGGATAGAATTTGTTAAGTAGCTGAGATACCAGCTGGAACATTGATGGGAAGATTTGAAGTGAAAGTCTCCATATATAAGTTCAAAATAATTTAAATAATGTAGGAGTGCTGATAGCAAAGAAACCGTACGTGTCTACTATCACTTCATCTTTGTAATACAGAGCTTTTTAAGGTAACAAAATGTGATTTTCTCCAGCTCTGCCAAGAGACTAATAGGATAAATTACCCAGAACTCAATTGTCTATTACATCAACAATTCCAATGAATAGAGCAATGTTTCCGCTTTAGATAATGAATACTGTCAAAATACTGTCAAATACTTTTTGTAGGTTAACTTAACAACTGTTATTGAACCATTATGATGTGAATAATATGTTTCAAACAGCATGTCAAGCACTTATGATTCTTAATGTTCATAAGCTTATATTAGGAGAAGACAAGTTTGAGGTCTCATGAAAGCTCATTCAGAAATTACACCACTGAAATTTGACAGAAAAATAGCCTAATTTAAATAGCACACTTTCAAACTATTGTATCTGAGAGTTTTTGGATAATAACTTCCCCCCCCCCAAAAAAAACCTAAATCATTTTTGTTTTAGCCTTGCCTTCCTCCATAAGGTTGGGAAACTGAGTCACAGATCGGACTCCCCAAAGAGTGTCCAGATCTGGCTTAGATCTTAGATGCCTCTTTACAAGGGGATGTAAATTGAAAGATGAGATCATTAGCTAATTGTAAATATACTTGTTTTGGTCAGAATGCCTGAGTCCTCTA